CACACATCATAGGTGAATGATAGTCGACTATCAGTCAGATGTCATCCGCATCCATCTGTACTCACCGCTTTGCCGTTATAGTAATACATGAATGATCCGCCGCTCACCCCAGGGATGGTGTACGCGCAATACATGCTTCTGGTCCTCTAGTGTGTGTATGTGTGTTTTATCCTGTTCAGACGCTCTCAAACAACTTTGTGTTCAAACTCGCAGTCCCCCACACACACACACACACACACACACACACACACACACTTTTTCCTTTCCATGGCAAATCTGGAACTGATCCTGCTCTGAGCTTGTCGGCTTCTCTAAAAGGACTGAAAATGTGTGTGTGTGTGTGTGTGTGTGTTTTGAACATTTTTTTGCTGCAATTGAACTACAAGGTTCCTGTTGCTCACACATGTCTATCTACAAATATCTAAACATTATTAAATCAATATACAATTACTTGAGAAGCAAAATGACTAAAGATATTAAGTAGTCTTTGAAAAATGTATCAAAATAAAGTGAGTTTATGCTTATATACATAATAAATAAATTTAAAATAAATACATAAATAATGCATCTAAAAATACGTATAATATATATATATATATATATATATATATATATATACTCGTTCATAAAACACGACTTTTAAGGTAATTTTGCAGCTCAAGTAAATTTATCTTCATTTAACAATGTTTAGATAGTTGTACTGTAGTGTTATAGAGTAGAGTTTTTTGCAGTGTACACCTACTATAGCATATCATAATGAGCACAAACTCACTCAAGCCCTAATGGAGAATGAACACAACATGATTTACTAAGGACAGAGTGGCGCCATGACACACACACACACACACACACACACACACAGCCTGAGGGACAGTGAAGTGACAGTGAGGTCCATTATAGAGAAGAACACAAATGCCATTAATAAACTCTGTGTGTGTGTCTGTCTCTCTCTCTCTCTCTCTCTCTCTTGCTTTAATTTGATTAAAAGGCGAGTTGCAGGGAGGGATTCATACGTGCACATCTAATAACTCCACCATCTGTCCTCAACGCTGGCACCACACCAGAACTCAGAGAGACAGACAGAGAGAAAGAGACAGAAAGAGAGAGATACAGAGAGACAGACAGAGAGAGAGACCAGTGCTTGACAGAAAAGTGAAGTATGTTTGAAACCAAAGTGTGAATGTAAAATATCAGCAAACACATTCTTTTATTTGACTTGTTTTTATTAATAGCAAAAATCTATATATATAGTTAATGTTATATTTATTTAACATTTATTTTAAATGCATATTTAATTAACTTAATTTTATATTTATTAATTTTAGTTTTAGATAATATAGTAAAACCTTTAATATATAGTGTATAAATATGCACAAGATTATATTGAAAATTAAATAAATGTAAAATAAATAAATAAATAATGCATCTAAAATAATCTACAATAAATTTAAAATAAATACATAAATATAAAAAAAATGTAAAAAATTAAATGAATAAATAAATATTGAAAAAAATAAAAAATAAAATAAAACATATTTATTTAAAATGTATTTTAAGTGTATACTTATTTAATTAATACAATTTTATATTTATTTATTTTATATGTATTTTTAGATAATAGAGTAAAACATTTAGTATATAGTAAAACATATGTGTATAAAATAAAAAAAAGCACAACAATTTGTACATAATTTATTGCAAATTTAAAAAAATGATATATACATGTTTATTTGTGTGTTCATGTGTATGCAGTGTTACTAATGCTTTAGCAATATAAAAGCAGAGATGCTGATGCACCTGAGAGCATAACAGCAGTGATGTGAGACAGAAACACACACTCACACACACACACACACACACAGGCATGTGCTATGGGAACATTCCATGAGCTTGACGTGTGTGTGTGTGTGTGTGTGTGTGTGTGTGTGTGTGTGATAAAACGCTCTGACCGTTAACAGACCTCGGAACAGTTGACTAACAAGGATGAGACGTGGACCACACACACACACACACACACACACACACACACAGACTAAACATCAAAGGACGAAGAGTGGAAATAGAATCTGTCCATCTATGACACACACACATATATATATATATATATATATATATATATATGTTTGTGCTGTTTAAAAAAATCATCCCATCAGACCTGATAAAAAAGGTTCCTTCTTTTTCCAGTAAGGTTTTCCTGTCGTGTGTGTGTACAGTAAGTGACTTTAACACACGTGGATGACGCCACGCTGCCAGCTTCAGCATCTGATGGGAGAACGGCTGAACTGCTGGGATCAGATCCCAAATGAAATTAATCATTTGCATATGCAGAGAGCCGCTGCTATTCCCAGAATAAACTTCAATAATTCAGCAGCAGCTCTTTCCTGGCCACTCCTCCGTCCTCAGCTCGTCTGTGTTCAGGCCTTTGTGCTGCTGTAAGTGTTGTTGTTTGCTGTGGAGGGGCTTTGGAGGGGGTCGACCCTCTCTTTCTCTCTCTCTCTCTCTCTCTCGCCCAGCGCTGATTTGCCCATCCCGTGGGATTAGAGTAAACAGTACTTGGATTATAAGCACACATTTCATTCCGATTTCATGCTCTGAGGATTTTTTGCTCATTAGAAGCATGAGTTGTCAATCTCGGAGGATCCCGTTCGGATCTCTTTTTCTCTCTCGGGGAGTTCAAGGGCCCCGACTGCGGCTCTAAGGGCCGGTTTGGTGTCTCACACAAAGCACGACAGCATATGTGTGCACAAAAACACTTTAACCCTCAACACACCACGCAAACACACAATGAAGACGAACTCAGACTCCTGTTAGCTTTCATCATGACACAGCCCCGATTTATTCAGCTCAGAAACGCAAACACACACCTAAAAACTCAGATCAGCCTGAGAAAATGACAAAATGTGCCAGTAAAAGAACCTGAATTCACTGGATGCTGATTTCACCATGGCTCTCGTTCACTTCTAAAATAAATACAAAATAAATCTAAAATAAATAAAAATTAAATGCATCTAAAATAGATAAGTAATGCATCTAAACTTAATAATAATAATAATAAAATACATAACTACTAAAAATGAATCTAAAATAAAAATGGAAAAAATTAAATACCTCTATAATTTATAAATAAATGATCTAAAATAAATAACTAAATCTAAAATAAATACATCTAAAATAAGTCCATAATTAAATAAATAATAAAAATAAAATTCTAAAATAAATACATAAATACTAAAGAAAAACAAAATCTAAAATCCAAATGTAACATTTGAAATTAAGTAAATAAATAAAAAATAAATAAATGTATCTAAAATACATAAATAAATCTTAAATCCAAAAGTAAATCGAAAAATCTGAGGGATCATGCTAAAATAACCAGGACTAAAAATGTAATTCAAGTTATCGCAGGCTTGTTTTGTTGTTTCTCAGATTGAGAAATGTATATGAATATAGAAACGAACTTCTTGAGCTGGTGATTTAATGAGCTCAATCATTGCAGATACTGAGAGTCGTGGGAACGTGTAATTTCTGGAAAAAAACTGCACAGATAATGTAAACAAATTACCAAGGAATAATTAGTCCAGACCGAAAGAAAAACAGCGGCGATATCTGAAGAAAGTGATCATTAAACTGAGATACATCTTCAAGGAGAGACGTCTTCATTAAAGCCACAAAGATGAACACAACGTTCAGAATCTAAACGAACGTTTGGAAAGAGAGAGGCACTGATATTGTTTCCTTCAACAAAACCTTCATTTGCTCTAATGAACCCGTCTGCAAGAGTCAATTGACACAATCATGAACCCAAGTGTCACAGACAGCCAGTTTGTCTCTTCTGCGAGCGTCAAATAAATTCAGCAAATGTTGGTATTTCAGCCGCTCAAACACATCCGAGGGCTTCGTCCAATCGCAATCTTCTGACGGCTCCGACTACAGATTCTAACAAACATTAAACACAGTAAGGAGGCAATTATGTATGCATGATTTAATCTGCAACTAATTAATATGCAAATGTATTCATATGTTAGTTACTAAATTAAAAATGCAAAGCAGCCCTTATTGTGATTCTGTGATTTCGGCACAAACAGTACATTTGAAAATAAAAAAAGCACAAAAACAGCTAGGAGAAAGAAACTTCGCCAACTTGAAGTTCCTCCTTTTAACAGCCTGTTGCTTCTCAAACACACTGTACGTTTGTATTAAGGCAAACATCTAAATGATGTTCTGAATGTGGCTGTTTAATGAGGTATCTGTGTTTTGTAAGTCCGTTCACAGCCTCAGGACATTACAGCGTCACATGTGCTCATTCTCATTCTCACACTCTGGATCTGGATCTGGTTAAAGGGCCACTAACATCTGCTACCTGCCTGACATCAGCCTCGGCATGTGCAAGGCATTATGGGATGCGAGCAGAAACACAAACACATTCAAACCGAGAATAAATGGGTAGTTAGTTGAGCTTTAAAGCAGCGGATGACTGATATGCATTTAACAGTTTAACAATGAGACATAAACAAACTTAGTATGTCATAATTTTGACTTTTTATCTCATACTTTTGACTAATGTCACAACTGACCATACCTCATAAATCCACTTTATGTCATTGTTGTAACATTTTTTATGTCATGATTTTTGACTTTCTGTCAGTTTTTTCTTTGCCAAAATTTGATTTTTTATATCATAATTATGATTTAGTATCTCATAATTTTAACTTTTATGTCAGACCTTTTGTCATAATTCTAACTTTTTTCAACCATAATTTTGACTTTATATCATATTTTTGAATTATGTCATGATTTTGACTTACATAATTATGTCTTAGTATCTCATAATTTTGACTTATGTCAGACCTTTTTAAGAATTATTACTTTTTATCATATTCTTGGCATTCTATCATACTTGAACTTACAGTGCGTCATGATTATGACTTGACTTTTCTGAAATAATTATGACTTTTTATCTCAATTATGATTTAGTATCTCATAATTTAAAATGTTCATGTCAGACCTGTTTATCATAATTGTTACTTTTTTATTATAATTTAGACTTATGTCATGATTTTGACTTTACATGTGATAGTTATGACTTTTTATCTCATAATTATGTCTTAGTATCTCATAATTTTGACTTGTCAGAACTTTTTAAGAATTATAACTTTTTATCATATTCTTGACATTTTATCATAATTCGACTTACAGTATGTCATGATTATGAC